CCCTGTGTTTTCTCAGCATATTGTTCCCAGCTCCTCTTCCATGCCTCTCCTCCCAGTTCCTGCTTTGCTTGGGGCAGGAAGGCACTTTGGAAATTCCTTGCTGCTAGCCCCTTTCTTCTCGCCCTCTCTTCTTCCCCCCTCCCTTTTGCTGTTGCAATTAAAAGCATCGTGAACCTTTCTCCAACATTTCAATCCTGTCCTCCCACCCCCCCACCCCCCCCAATGTTTTCCTTTCACCCATCCCAACACTGCAGCACCAGCTCTGTCCAAAGCAGTGCCATTTATTGGGATCATCACAGTTTGTGATGTTGTTTAATGGGGAAGCCCCAGCACATCCAGCTGCCCTGCGCCAGTCATTAGGTGATGTGTGCTCCTTGTGTGCTGGACCACAAAGCTAATGACACATCCTGGGGCTCTTCCAGGAGTTTGGGAGGTGCAGTGGGTTAGATTTACTTCATTTTCTTGGAAGAGACACATTAACCTTGTCAGCTGGCCAACAGGAGAGGAAATTTGGCAGAGCTCTTGCTGAGCTGGCCAGGTTACCACGGCGTTAAAGGGTTGTACTTCAGTGAGCAACCAGAAATGGCAACACACGGGCACAGCACCTGCACAGCAACCGTGGAGACACCACTGAGAGGCCTCCTCTCTTACAGAATTAGTTCCTTTAGCAAGAGAGAAGAAAGGATGAAAAAAATTCAGGAGCTTTTCAGTGTTGTCAGAGGTGTGGAGGATAAAACTTCACTTCAAAGTACCTGAAAGAAGCCTGCTCTTATTTCTGGTGGTGGGGAATCAATGCTGTGCCATGGTAAATACCTGCTGTCCACCGTCTTTCTAATTCAGCCTTCAGAATTTGATCTTTTTTAGCAAGTGGTGAGTAACTCTGGATAACGACACAGCATTTTATTCATCCTTTTAGTCATGCTTTGGGAAGAGCAAGGCTGCTCTTGCTCCGGAGCTGTGGAATTCTGATGGCAAATTCCCAGGCTCTCCAGCCACGTGCTGTTGCCTACTCAGGCAGTTCTGGGTCACTGCATGAACACGATTTTTTTTCCCACCCTGCACGTCCTCTCCGTGTTTGCCTCCTGATGTTACTCCACGAGGTTATCTGTGAGGGACAGATGGAGCTGAAGGCAGAGGTGAATGGGAGCGAGGAGAAGTCAGGATGAAGGGTGGATACCAACAGGATGAGGCTTCTGATGGGATTTGCAGGGTGGAAAACCACATGATGGGGCTGAGCTGTGTAGGATGTGGGCTCCTCAAGGAGCATCTCCAGTGCAAACCCACAGCTGGGGAACACAGTGCAGCTCCTGGAGCGAGGCTGTGCTCAGAGGAAATCTGCTTTTTCTCTTCTCTGATGCTCCCTGCTTACCCTCCCCCCTTCCAGTGCCCAGTATTTATGTTTCCACATAATAATGATGTGATGTGGCTGGCAGAGTAATTTAAATAATTGGACATTATCTTGAGAAGCAAGAACCTAATTAGATCAAAATAAACTGAGAACTGAAATTTTCATCTGTTTCTAATAACCTTTTTACCTATGTACAGTGTTGCTGCTGCAGCAGGGATTTCATTATTCACACCACACTATGTTGGGGTTCATGAGTGATGGAGACTCCTGCAGGAGCAGAGAGCTTGGTGGCACTTTGTGGACAAGATTAGTGACTCATTCCTGGTTCTGTAGAGTGTTTTCCAGTGATCCTCTGCTGTATTTGTCCCTTGTGTAACCAGCAGATACAGATCAGGGTTCGAAGGCAGATATTTAAAGAGAAAAGGCTCAAAGAATGTCTGACCTTAGAGCTCTGTCATTCATTTCTCTAAGTTTGTCTAGGAGCTTACAATGTTTGTTTTGCTGCATATGAGGAAGAGGCAGCTCAGACCTTCTCCAGTGTTTGGTGTCATTGGGACCATCAGAGCACGTGAAGATGTTGCTTCTGCAGCACACCAGCTTTGATTTGGTCCTGAGACAAGGACTCCACTGTTGAAAGTTCACTGAAAGAGTCTTGGTTTGGCTTTGACAGCTACAGCTGGAGGTGTCTGGTGTGGAGAGGGTCATTTAGAATTGCCAGCATTGCAATTAAGGGAGGAAAAGAGGGAAATATTTACTAGCCTTTATTTTAGGAACTGGCTCAGTGTCTTTCTCCTGATGAGTTGCTCTCCCTCACACTTCCTCATACTCTTATTCAGTTGATTTATTTAAAGGTATGTCAGTGCTGGCTGAAATGAAACACTGTGCCTCCTCTTCCTGCTTATTGCTGACCGCTCCAATAATTCATTTTTTAGCTCATTAACTAACAGGGGATGTGAGCAGTGGTCCTCCGGGGAACTGCAGTGAGGTTAAGTGATCTACTGCTGACAACTCTGCTCTTGGACTGGCCTTCCTTGGGGGAAATGAAACCTCAACCAAGACAAGCTGTGGATCCCAGAAGTGAAATTGGGGCATCAGAGCAACAATTGCAGTATTTATGTCTTGTTGTCAGGGTTTCTGAGATGAATGCGAGCAGCAGAGCTGCAGCTGTCTCCCAGGAAAGTCCCCAGGACTTCCCATCCAAATTAAATGGTTTGTGCCAGAGATGGAGGGAGGATGTTTGTGGACATTGCCTTTCTAGATGCTCATTGGAAAGCAGTCCTTGTGTGTTGTGGCTGTCCATAAGGTGTAGTCCAGTGTGTTTTTCCTTCTACCTCTGATGAGGTTTTGTTTTCAACCCTAACATCCAAATCTTCCACGTGCCGAGTTTGTACTGTTGGAAAAGACCTGAATCCCACTGCATACTGATGTCAGTGATGTGCTGCCCCAAATGCCTGAGGCCTTTGAAGGCACTTTATTTTGATTTATAGTTCCACCACAGCCCTTGATGTGACTCCAAAGGTGGAACTGGATCTTCCTGAGTGAACTCATGGTGCCCAGCACTGAGGCAGGTGGGAGCACATTCTCCTTCCTGTGATACTGAATTTTAAAGAGTTTCCTGTTCTTTCAGTAGGACAAAACTGAGCAGGACTGGGGCATCCCTGTGTCTCTTCCTTGCATCCCTCCAGGAGCATCAGGATTGCCCACACAACACAGAGCAGATGTGAAATTTGTGCTGATAGATTTGTGAACCAGCAGCCTCAATCTTTGAGAGCCTCTGCCTGATCTAAGCAGTTATTCTCTCTATTTAGTGTCACTATTACAGTTTAGGCTGAGAGGTAGGAAGTGGGAGACTTGTGTCAGACAGCTTTTTTTTCCTAAATAGAAAAGGACTTTTTCTTGAGCCCCGGCGATCACAGCAATTGGTGCTCTGATAGGAGCCAGAAGTTTCTCTCACTCCAAAGATGGTCTGGGGGAGAGGGGGATTCATTTGCAGACCCTTGACTAAGCTAAAAAAAAATATTACTTACATATCTGAAGAATATTTTGCCTTTAGGATGTATGGACATACAAAAAATAAATCCCCAGAGCCCTGGTGTGTGTTACTGTGGGTAAACAGCACAGGTTGAATCACCTCATTTTCATGTTTTAAACGTGTTCTGGATGTGTTGGTTATACTCTCAATACCTCTGTGTGTGTTTAAAAATCATGTGAGGTTTTTGTTAACATCCTTGAAGATAATCTAGATGGATACTGGGAGTAGAACTGTTGCAAGAATGCCCCTTTTATTGTAGATAATTGTGTGTTACTTTATCCCTTTCATGGCACTGGTTCTAGTTTGGCTTCTTACCTTAAAAAATGTAATTAGAAAAACCATGAATTAAAGATTCTGATAACAGAACTCCTTTTCTTCCTCCTCTCCATCTGGAATACCTGCAGCAATACTCCATTTATCAGATCCTGCCATCAAAGGTTAATTTGCAACTGCCCAAATGGGTCGTGGAGGGTTTTTTTTTGGTGTGTCTTTTAGCTTGCAGGAGTCATTCAGAGGTTCGAGGCAAAAGAAGCACTCCCTGTGTTAATTTTCTGTTTGCACTTTTGCTCTGAAGAAAAGCCCTGGCCCTGTTTGTGGGGTAAACTGTGGCCAGGTCAGGGAAGCTGTGCCTGCTTTGGGAAGCTGTGCCTGAAAGCATCCGGGCAGGTCGCAGCAAGGTCACTCCACATGTCCCAGGAAATGATGCAAAACTAATCCAGATTTGCTGGTGGAAGGAGATGTTTACATAAGTATTTAAAAACAGATTAGGGCTAACCTGACACTAGATTACTGGGAGCAGTGTAAACACGACTGAAAGGCGTAAACAGAGCTTGGCCTTTTGTACTCCAGAGGAGAGAATCTGTCGCCAGGACCCAGTTGCCTGGCTCAGGTGATGTTTGTGGTTTTTCACAGGCTGAGCAGATTACCTGAGGGACCTCTAAATGGGGCTTTGTCTGGGGCTGGTGCTCTCAGATCATGCAATTGTATGGTAATTTTTGAAATGGCGAGTGGAGGGCCTTGTTTGTAGTCCTTGTTCTGCTGTAACCTGATAGCACCAGAAAGCTTCTGATGGTTCTTTGATATATCAGGAGGAAAAGGTGCTTCAAAGCACTGGTTTGAATTTTGGGAAGACAAGAGGGATCATCCTTATGCCTTTGGGAACGTGACTCAGTTTGGAGGGGGACAGAGCCCCCATTTGGTTACTTCTGGTCTGGGATACAGAAATTGGGAGCACTTTATTTGCAGTGTATTTTCCAGCCTTAAAGTGGGACCTGGCAGCTTGTTGTGTCTTTGGTCTTTGTGACCGCGAGGGCTCTTGCCCTGACCTCTTGCTGGCCCAGGGTTTTTTAAGACCTCCTGGCTGTTGTGATCCTACAACCCCCTGGGCACAGCATCCATCAAGGAGGATCTTGAGCACTGCCTCAGGAACAGTAAGGTGGACAACACAAATATTGCTAAAAACACAAGGTTTGGGTGACCTGTTCCTAAGGTTTGGGTGAACTGTTCCCATGAGGGCTTCCTTGACGTGGATTTGAAAGGGGAAATAACCTCCTTCTGTTGGTTGAGCACTGTTGGCCGCGACACCAGGTGAGAATGACCTGTCCCCTCTGGCTTCCCTAGGGAGGAGAAAGAGCTCTGGATCCGCGCCAAGTACGAGCAGAAGCTCTTCCTCGCCCCGCTGCAGTGCCTGGAGCTGTCTCTGGGCCAGCATCTCCTGAGGGCCACGGCCGAGGAGGACGTGCGGACGGTGATCCTGCTGCTGGCCCACGGCACGCGGGAGGAGGTGAACGAGACCTGCGGGGACGGGGACGGGCGCACGGCCCTGCACCTGGCCTGCCGCAAAGGGAACGTGGTGCTGGTGCAGCTCCTCATCTGGGTAAGGATGCGCTGCCGTGCCCGGGGCTGGGCTGTGTCCTGCAGCAGGACGGCCCAGAGCCGCTCCTGCAGGGCTTCACACGGACCATGTCCTGAGGCTGGGTGTTCCTCACTGCAGGCTTTCAAAGGGTGGCACCGTGGCAGAAAAACATGTTTGTGCCTCTCTGCTGCTTGATGGAAAGGGAAGGAGAGCGTGGGAAATGAGGGAGGAGAGATTCCCTTAGCTTGGAATACCGCCGGGGCGTATTTTGTCCCACACGTGCGACTCCCTCCCTTGAGAAACCTTTTTCTCCGTACGTGTCTCAGTGTTGTCAGGCTGCCCTCCCACCTGCTCCCTCATCCTCCCTTAAACCCAATCCCAAACCCACTCCTGAAACTCGACCAGCACCGCTCCCAACAGCGCCCCTCTTCTCGCCCCGCAGTACGGCGTGGACGTGATGGCGCGCGACGCCCACGGGAACACGGCGCTGGCCTACGCCCGCCAGGCCTCCAGCCAGGAGTGCATCGACGTCCTGCTGCAGTACGGCTGCCCCGACGAGCGCTTCGCCCTCATGGCCACCCCAAACCTGTCCAGGAAGAACAACAACCGCAACAACGGCGGCGGGAGGATGCCCACCATCATCTGAGGGGAGCTCGCTCGCGTGTTCGCTGAGTCACATCCGCAGCCTCGCATTCCTCCATCCCCATCACCGCTCTGGGAGTCTGGTAACTCTCCATCTCCCTTTTCCCTTCAGTCCATCCCGAGTCCCAGCCGGCACGTGGAGAGCGCCAGGGGCCGAGGAGGAGCGCGGGGGGCTGCTGGGCAGGCCGTTGTTTCAGCGCCCGCCGGGCCGGGAGGGCGCAGGGGCCGCGCCGGCACCGCCCGGGGACACGCGACAGCCCCGGGGCGCCGAGGGACGGGCGGGGGGAGAGGTGAGCCGGAGCAGAAGGAAGGAGAGCCGGTGACTTTCCCGAACTGACAGTGAAGCACATCAGAACATTTCACCTCTACCGAACGCGGCGACGCCTGGATTTCCATTCTCTTCTCCTGAAGAGCTTGACGGCATAAATCAGAAGCAAGCACAGAGTTTGTCAGGTTTGAAGCTCCTATGATGGTATGTGTCAAATCAGTTGTAGCTAATCTGTCCGGGGAGAATACTGGCTTCATTACACTTGTATAGTTGAGTTCTTCCAGCATTACTGCTGTTTAATAGAACATGATTAGTCATCACGGAGAAAAAAGCATATTAGCTGAGGAGGTAGTTACATGGCACGCTTCGGTGATTGCTTGGATGTGATTGCAATATTCTTAGAAGCATCATATTATCTCAGACATGTTCTTTCGAGCCCTTGGAGCCCTCCTTTCTAAATTCACTGTCATAATTTAGTATCTGTTTAATTTTTCAGTCCAAAGAGAGGAAATGAGTTGCTGAGTGTTATTTGACTGCAGTCTCCTTGGTGTAAAAACAAAATGGAAAAAATAAATAAGAGTAAGCCTGAAACACAAAAAGGGATAATGAATACCGCTACGGAAAACAACATTTCAAGTACGTTTGGTGAAATTAATAAATGCATTAAAGGCTGATTTTTATTTTTTTTTTTTTTAATTTTTTTTTTTTTTAATGTTTTCAGCCAGCAGAAATAGGTTCTGTCATTTTGCCAAGGTAAATTGTGTTGAGTTTTTGGTCACTCCTATGATGCATTGCCTAACTTATACAGATTTTTGTATTGTGTCTCTAGATTCTATGTATTTAAAATCTATTTGAATAAAAAAAAGACCGTAAATATACATTGAATTTTTTTTTTTTTGTACAGAAAATGACATCTCTGTTAATTTATAAACTGTAATGGATGTGAGCTAAATAATGTGCAACTAGTTAGGGTCTGTGGGTTACAGATCATTATTGTCCATTGATAATATTCCCAGCAGTGAACTCTTCTTTCCAAAGCCTGTGAGGAGCAACATATCAGAAGGAGATCAGGGCACATTTTGGCACAGGGAAGTTAAAAAACCATGTGAGACCTTTTAGAAAGGAGAAAAGAGGCTGTTCCTCAGCGCTGTAAATACATTTTACTCCAGAAGTCAGGAAGCTTTCACAAGCCAAGACAAAAAGGCCCATTCTGGCTGGGGGAAGATCAGATTTGATTAAGTTCAGAATTGATAGCCTTCACCACGGCGGGCAGCGCTCCCAGCCCGGCTGCTTTCGGCAAGAAGAATGGCTTGTGGAAGTAGCCTGGACGGTTCATTGCAATTCCAAGTTTTAATACTTGATTGGATTATTTTGGGTTTAGCGGGCACATCTCAGCTTCTCCTGCTTCCCACTAGCAGGATTCCGGTGTGGGGAAGGTTTTGGCAGGCAGAAAAGTGACTTTTATGTTTATTTTTTGAAATGGCATATGGCAATGTGGGGATGGGGGCAGGGTTTATCGTGGAGAGAGTTGAAAACTCAACTGAATTCTGATGGCAAAGGAGCAATTATGTGAAGGCAGTGAGGTGCACACAGCATAGCAATTTGAAAATCTACCTGGCTCCTGTGTATTTCCCAAGCTTTTGGTGGTGCCCTTCCTCGGGGCTCTGGGTTTCATTCAGCACACAAATAGGAGGAGCAGCTTCTAAATAAACAGAATGTGGGAAAATTGCAAAGGAAAAAATGCAATATGGTTATCTTAAGGGAAACAAAAAAAAACAAAAAGGAAAAATTACAGATTTGAGGTAAAATTCTGGGAGAAAAATGAGCATCAAGGTGGAAGCACAGGAATATTGACCAGCTTCTCTTCTTTGGTGGTGGTGTCCTTTTGTACTTTGTTGTTTTCTAGACCTTTGAGTATTTGGGGAGAGGGAATCTTTCTCCGGCCAACCTGACTGCTGATTGCACCAGACACAGCTGATTCCCTTCCCACTGGGATACTTCTAAATGTTTTATTATTTTTTTTTAATCCAGAAAAGGTGTCTGTTTGAACTGCCATTTCTCCACCATTCCTGATGTTCGGTACTTGGAGGTGGTCCCTCAGGGAGGGGATAGCCCAGCTGATGTGCAGCTGAAGGGGATGCTGTGGAACCCTCTGTGTGCCGGTGCTCAGCAGCTTTGCCACAGCAGGGATTCAGGAATGGCAATCCCAGAGGTGCTAGAGCTGCCTGCTGCTCCCCCCAAGGAGCATCCAGGGCATTTGTATCCCAAAAACCAAGTCCAGTGTTTCAAACCCACAGTGGGCAGAGTTCTCAATGCACGTTCTGTTTCAGAGTTTTAGGTTTAACCCTAATTTAAATCCTTTTCTCTACGTTGTTTAATGCTCTCTTTGGGCCACCTTCCTCAGGCTGAGGGTGATGTTTGAGAAACAAGGGCAGCAGGCAGATTCCAGGTAGACAAAGTACGTGGTCCTTTCCTAAAGATCTTCTGAGGGCAACCCTGGAAAAAGCACAGAATATTTTTAGGAGAGGAAATTCCAGTGTATTACAGGAAAAATTATGCATCCAGGCAAGCCAAGTAATACTTCTATTAAGTGGTAACACGGTTGCTTTTAACCTAAACATGGTTTTAAAAGTGTTGGCATTGAAGCAGTGTCGGTGTGGGGGTCTGTGGGGAGCATTCCCAGCCTTGCACGTGTCAGAGCTCCCAGGAAAAGTCAGGAGGTCCCAGAATGTCCTGAGTTGGAAAGGTCCCGATGGGTGAGGTCACCCAGGGCTGTTGTCACCAAGTCACTCCTTGCAGGGTGGAGGATGGCTCCCACCAAGGCAGGGATGGAGGAAGCTCTCCTTGGCTGGATCCTGGTGGGGCTTGGCTTTGAGAGCTCCCCAGGCTTTTCAGGGGATGTGTTTGCACTGTGCAGAGGCTGCTCTTGGAGCCCTCCAGGTGCAGAGTCAGGCAACATCTCCTTGGAGATCCCACAGGAATTGTTATTCCCGTTGTTCACTCCATTCTCCCACCCCTTTCCCGCTCCTTGTCTTGTGTTTAGCCACTCCTGTTGCTTTTTTACAAGCCCTAAGTGTGACCCAGTCCATGAAAAATCCCAGCAGCCAAAAAGCTGTTTTCTCTGGAGTCTGTGGCTGTGGTCATTGCTCTTCCCACTTAACCCTTCCCCTCATCCCAGATACCTTGAAATGCCCCTTCCTCTGCACTTTATCCATCACTAAAACACTAGAAGCGAGTCAGCCGTTGCTGTTTCTCTATTTCCTCCTATCTTTGTCCAATTGCTGTGGAATTTAGTTGGATGTGTCACACCTGAACCTGGGTATTGCCAGGGAGGGTTCACTTCTCCTTTGTCTTTCTGAAGAAAAAAGACCCAACCTTGGGAAAACTCAGGGTCCTGCCCTGAATGCAGAGATTTGGCCAAGGGCTCCCATTACCAGATCTCCAATTTTGGTGGTAAAAAAGGAGCAGGATGGGGAAAAAAAAAGCAAAAAAATAAAAGCTTGGAGAACCTTGGTGCTGCTGGGAAAGCTGGGTGAGCTCCTGGGAGGGGGAGAGGATTTTGAAGCATTTGAGCGCAGTGTAAAATAACCGTGTAAACATTAGCATTGTTTAATTCACTGTCTCGTCCCCCTTCCCTTAAATTATGTGTGTTAGTGCAAAAAAGAAATAAAAATAAAAAGCTTTAGCTGCACTTGGAGATTTCCCTGGGCCAGAGAAGGCCGAGTCACGTAGGGAGAGGAGTCGAGGTGGGAATGCAGATCCGGGTTTGGAAGTGATCTCCGGCACTGTAATGTAGAATAATTAGATTATATGGGGTTGGAATAGCTTCAGCTTTTATATTTGTACGGAGATCAGGAGAAATGAAGTAATTTGTAGTTTCTAGTGTAAAGTAGTGGTAGTGGAGACAAGCACAGATTTCACAAGGGGGTCCCCAAGGGGCCCGTCCCAAACGTCTCGGGGAGCCGCCTTTGCACCTTAACAGGGATGGTTATTGGGGTTCATTGTTGGTGAAAGGGTCATTTCATGTTTGGTTTAGTGGTTGTTGTCAGCAGGGGAACTCGAGGGGAAGGAGGAGAGCGTTGGGGACCAAACTTTGGGGCACCTGGGCGGGACAGGAGACAACTTCCCCGTCCTCATCTCATCGTCAGGCGTCTTCCTTACCCCTCCAGAGTCTGCTCCACCAACCCTTAGGTGGGATCTCTGCCTGTTTGGCCTGGATCCTCAGTTCCACAATTCCCATTCCTGATGATTTGTGGGTAGAATCTACTGCGTAGAAAACCCAGGTTTGGATGTTCTTGTGTTTGCTGCACAATGGGGAAAAAAAACAAAGGCTCTGCAGTAAAGATCTTTTCAAGGTAGAAAAGAAACACTGAACTACCCCAAATTAAGAGGTTCTGCAATGAGTTTGGAGTTCTAAGCTACCAAAAAAAAAAAAGGTTGGCTTGAATGGTTTTATTGGAAAATAATTTCTTTTTTGGAAAAAAGTAATAGAGGTCATAGAGCAAAACATCCAGAGGTGTAGATGGGTGAATTTGTTGGTTTAGGATATTTGTAGGTTTTGCTTTCTTGTTTAGCATGGGCCAATGTTTAAAGTAAATATTGGGACAGTTTACCTTGAGTTGACTGAGTCTGTCCCATACTTCAAAGGGAGGTTTGAGGGGTTTTGGCCAGGATTGTCAGGAGCTGGGAATAGTTCATGTTTTGAGAGGGGAATTGCATGATTTCTGCAAAGTGAAAGGTCAGTCTGGGACATGTTTTTAGGGCCCCAAATTGGCTAGCATGTTTGTGGCCCCATTTCATTTCAGGGTGACAGCAGGATGTGGGTGAATGAACTCCCATCATTTACTACCATCTTCAGGGAGGAGAATTTCACTTGTGGATGGATAAAATAAAGATGTCTTTGTGCATTTCAGCAGTTTTAACCTCTTCATCTCCCCATGCCTGCCTGGATCCCAAACCCCTGTGGCACATCCAGGCAGCAGCGGTCGGTTCTGCTGGTGGGCAGAGCCTCAGCCTTCCCTCAGCCATGGATTTTCTGGATGTGGTTTTTTCTTTTAGCTTCCAGTGCTAAGGACTGGCTGATTTGCAGTGCTTCAGAGCTACTCATTTTTACATCTGTGTGTTCTGTACAAAATGTGAAGGGGGGTGGGTGGGGGACGCTTCAGAGGTCTCATGGCATGCCGTGGGGATGGTGGCCACCTTGCTTGCTGGCAGTGAATAAACCTTCAGCTCTTCCCCACTTTTCCATTTGGGGTTTTTTGTTGTTCCTGAGAGCTGAAGTAGCTAAAAGCATTTCCCTGGTCCTCAGGAACTGCAGGGTATGATGGGGAGAACCCCTCACAGAGACAGCTCAAAGGCAAACCCCAAACTCCTGCAGGACCAAGGAAGGGTTTTGGTGCTGAGCGTGGGGATTTTGGGCATCTGCATCCCGAATGTAGGGGTTGAGCTGAGTTGAACCCATGGGTGAAGTGCAGCCAGGGTGTCCTGAGCCCTCAGCTGTCACCTGGAGGTCACTTCTTGCTCTGTGTGTGTGCTGGTGCCTGCTCCTCACACTGCTGTCGGTATTTGTGGGAATCCCCTTGATCACCATCAGGAGCTGCAGCCAGGCTTTGGTTGGATGTTTCCAAATGGGCAAATTTCCCAGCTGGAGCCAGACCAGGACTTCCAAGGAGGCAGGATGGGGGAACACTGGCTTGAGGGATGGAGAGGTGCAGGGAGATGAGGCCCAGGCTTGCTGCAGACTCACAGGTTTTCCTAAAATCCAACTCCTTGAGGCAGCAACATCCAGCTTGTGAAAACCTTGAGTTTGGCCTCCAGGACTGGAGGGGAAAAATCCCTCCCTTGCTGGAGAGGAGAAATCCCAGCTCACCACTGCAGGTGGGAAGCTCCAGGGAAGGAGATTCTGAAGGTGGAAAGGACAGAGTCTTGCATTTCAGATGATTTCTTTTTAATATAAATTTGCTTGAGACTCATCTTTCTGGCTGGATCTGAGTGTGGGAGCAGCGAGCTGTCGGGGATTCAGCGACGCTTCGGGTCCCGCTGCCTTTTGGGGCTGTTGAGGATAACAGGGAGATGTTTCCAAGGGAGATGTTCCCAAGAGCTGCCTCCAGGTGGGTTCTTCCCCAAGGACAGCTCCTCATCCCTCCCTCCACGTGTTCTTGGTCATGACTGGCTCCAAAATTTTTGCTGTGGGGGGACCACGAGTCTCAGCTGCAGTGGGCTCGTGTGCCACAGTCTGGGAACACCTGACCTGGTGGTGTGGACACCATTTCTACCCTGGCTTTGGTTTCTTGTCCTTCCAGGGGCAGTCCCTAGGGAGAGGGCAGGTCTGGCAGGGCAGGAAGGAGCTGTGGAGGGCCATGGCCAGGGACTCAGCTGGATTCTCCACTGAATCTGCTGAGGAGAAGAGGATGTGCCCATCCTCTGAAAGCACCGTGCAAGTCCCAGCTTTCCAGGGTTTGGCCCAGCTTCCTTTTACTGTGTCACTGTCACAAGAGCACCTTTCACTTGTAGAGTGCATGTGGGGGCACAGACTGAGGGGTGTTTGGGGCAGGAGTGTCTCCTGAAACACCAGGGACTCCTTTTGAGATGGATTTGACTCAGCTTGGAATGGCCAAGAGCTCGGATCTGCAGCTCCTGCTGCCTTCACACCCCACAGCTCCAGCAGGATTTGAGCACATCTCAAATGCTTGGCCCACACCTGAGCAGCTCCAACCTGTGGCCACCTGCAAAGGCTGGATTTTGTGTTCAGCCCCCAAATCTTTCAGGTCTTTCTGCTTTTTGGTGTTTTGTCTTTCCAGTTGAAAGTAGGGGAGGGAGCCCAGGTGAGGAGGGGACACCTGCTCGGGGTAGAGGCAGGAGATACCGAGCACATGGCAGGCTTTACAGCAAGTTTTGGGTTGTTGGGGTTTGGTTTTTTGTTTTGTTTTCTGTTTCTGTAAATAATAATGTATAAATGATGACGAGACAGTGTGGAAATTCTAAAAAAGAAGAAAAAAAAGAAAAAAAAAAGTCTTTTGTTGTTGTTTTTATATTACCTCATCCAGCAAGTTTGTTTTACAATGACTCAATGATGCTTTATTTATATTGTTTGTACTGTAATTAAACTGATGGACAAACATTTCACTTTGCTTGTTGTTTCCTATGATTTGGGTTTGATTAAGTATGCCAGTTTGTATTATGTTCCCCTTTCCTCTCTCCCTCTCTCTCTACATGTCAAGATTTTTTGTGTCAGCTGTACAGTATTCTGAATAATTAAAAATAAAAATTAAAATTTAAAAAAAAACAAAAAGGAAACAAAAAAGCTGTAAAGTACTGCAGAGAGAGGCTGCTATATTGTATAGGTCTCTTTCTAATAAAGACAAGAAAACTTGTTGGTCGCAGCTCGTTCTTCCCTTGAGTCTTGGTGGTTTCATTGATCCCCAGCTGCTTCCTTCTCCTGTGACTGCTCAGATCCTGCCACTCTTTGCCAGCAATAAAGATGAAGGATTATCCAGGAGCTGGGATGCCAGAAGAGCCAGTAATTGATAAATTGATTGCAAATTGATAAATTAAAAAGCAGTAAGTCAGCCAGGCAGTAATGGGTGTGTATCTAAGAGTTCTGGAAGTGCCTGTGGAGTGAGTGACAGATCCCCTGGCCAAAAATATGGGAGCTTTCATTAAAAACAGTTCTTCCCCCTGAGGAGGGGAGCAGTAAACGTTGCACCTTGGCTTTAAGGCTCTCTGGAGGTGATCCAAGGAATTAGGCTGGTAACTGTTACATCTGTATCTGCTAAATTGGTCGAAATGATCATTTAAAGTAAGAATAATAAAACACCTTTAAGGTCAGGATGTGGCATGGCCTAATCACTTCTTTGGAGGGGAATGGTGGCTCTCCATTCAGCTCCTGTGAAGGAGCCAGCTCCAAGCCCTGAACAATGGCAGCTGATTGATGTTTATTTACAGTTTTAGAGGTCTTGGCCCGAGTACAACCCCAGGAGAAATCGGGAATCTGGGCAGGCTCAAGGAGAAGACAAAGAGAAGGTGCTGGAGAGGGAAGCAGGAGGTGATGGGTTTTCAGCAGGGCAAACTGGGAACTCACTGGGAAGGTCCCTGCAGGAAGAAATTGCATCATGTTGGGGGAGCTGTGTGGTCCGTGGAGAATAGCAGGTAAAATTCCATAAATTTGAATTGAATTGAGTGCATTGAATGGGGAGGGGGAAATGAAGATTTAAAGAAGATTTAAACAACCCTGGTGTGAAGGATGAAATGAGACATTTGAGATCTACAAGGACACCATGGAGAGAGAATCAATGCTGTGCTCATCTCACACACCACATTGAAATTGGGGGTGCTCAGAGATGAGGAAGGCTGGGAAAAGTGGGGGGTTTTCCTCCAAAAGAGGGAGAAGCAGCAGATTGGAGTTGTGTCTTTTCCTGGCACCTTGCCCCTGACACAGTCCTGATGACCCCAGAGCCACCAAGAAGGACAAGATACCCCACAGGGCATCAGTGCAGATCTTGCTCCAGAGAAAACCTAGCCAGGGCTGGAAAGGTGAAATTGTATCCTCATGGTCTGAGTGGGGCTGCCACAGGGTGGGATTTGGGGCTTTGGGATTTGTTTTCTCGGCCTGCTGTGCCTTGACCTGTCCATTCCTCGTTGCCCATCCAGTCTCCCACCTCTCCTGTCAGGTGGGGATTTGGGACAGCTTTCCTGCTCCTCATTTCCAAGTGCTCCAGGGAAGCTCCAGCAGCACCGTGGGGGATGAAACCCCGCAGGACTGCCTATGGCTGTTGTTTTCCCCCTTTCTTTGGGGGTCACATGGCTGGTTTGTCACACAGCAGCTGCACCCCTTTGTTCCTGCAAAGTTTCCCCACCCCGTTCAACCCCTCCAGCACCCAGGCAGGAGGTGGGTGCTTTGTGTTCTGGATTTGAAATGTGAACTCGCAGCGAGGGAGAACTCGCTTTGGATTCCCCCTGGGTGTAAAGCTGTAGTAGTGCTCCTTTTTTTTTAGGAACCATCCGTCCCTCCCCTCCTTTGCTCTCCTGAAGGCTTGAGGGTTTTGATTTTGTGATGGGCACAGCTGGCTGCTCTCTCTGCCTAACAACCCTCCTAAGATCTGGCTTCTCCTGGAAGATGCTGGTGCTCAGGGATGGTGGAGCAGATTTAAGGATGCCTTTCATGCCCACGTTCCTCACCTTACCCCGAGCCCACCCCTGTGTACCCCTGAAACGCTCCCAGCTGGTGGCATCCACTGATGCCTTGGGAATAAAGAAAATATCCTACGGCAAAGCAACGGAGGTCAGGAGGAGGTTTTGAAGGAAAACTCTTGATTCCCATAATGGGAGTAGGGGAAACATCCCATTTTTTTCCTTTTTTTTTCCCTTCTTTTTTAAGAGAAAAAGTAATTCCTAAGAAGCCCAAACTGTTGCTCTGCCATAAAGGCTTTGCTGTGCATTTCCACCCTGGTGTCCAGAGGATTCATTCTGATGGATGCTGGGAGCACCAGCTCAAGGAAGCTTCTCCAGAGCCCAGAAGATTCTCACTCCATAGGTACCACCTACTTTCAGTCCCCACCCAGGACATTCCCTGGGCACTTCTGCCCATTTTTATTTGGTTTTTTCAACACAAATCCAAACCGGTGTGAAGGGAGTGATGGGACAAGCCCAGGAAGCTCAGAGGTGGTGGGATGGGGCTGACCCTTCCTGATAAACAGCTTTGTTTTCCACAAGAGACCCAGATCCATCTGGTTTCTAAACAAAAGAAAACATTTCATGCTTCTTGGAGGTCAGGTAAGAGCAACCTTATAGAGCCAGGTCTTTATTTCTCCACCTGTGGCCAAAAGCCAGAGCTGGAGCTGTCTGAAATCTGATTTTATGGGGTTTGTGCTGTGGATTTCCCCTGCCTGGAACTTGAAAATTCAGGGACTCCCGAGCCACCTGCTTTCAGTGAGTGAAGTAATCCTCAGTGGATTTCTCTTCCACCAGTTTGGCTGATCCCCAGAATCCCTGGAAGGCTCTGAGCACCCACAGCATCCCACATCAAGGCCATAGGATGCTCTGGGTTGGAAGGGACCTGGAAGCTCCTCTTGTTCCTGTTGGAGTCAGAGGCGCAGAGAGAGTGCCCTTATCTCTGATACCTGGCTCTGACATCCAGGAAAACACTGAATTTCATATAACACCCTGAAAACAACTGTTAAATAGAAAAGCTAAAAGTGTGAATGTGTAAATTAGAGAGTTTTCTTGAGTCACTAATGAAAAAGTTAAAGTTTAAACTAGTTTAGAGAGCAGAAGACAAGATGGAGGATTCAGGGTGTTGTCTCTTGTCCTTCATGTTCTTCTAGAGGATTTTGGGTAGCAGTAGGTGATTGGATAGGAAATGTCACAGTGCAGCAGACAGGTGTTGGGTCATTGGGTCATTAAGGAAAATAATTGATGTGTCTATAGTTAATTGGGTGAGAATAAATATAAAGATAAAAAGCTGTGTATTTTGGGGCCATTTTGTGCTTTTCCAGCCAACTTGAGCCAGGCCATGGTGGGTTGAACTTGAGCAGAAAATCTGGGGAAGAGCTGCAAAGCCTTTTTACAATATATGAATAAACACAAGGAACAAGAAGCTAAAGAGCCTTTGGAGAATCCTTCCTGAAACAGAAGTGAGATAAAGGAGCCTCTCCATGAGGGAGTATCCCAAAATCCCCAGCAACAGTTCCCACCTCCTGCATGAGCAGGAACACCTCCCACTGGATCCTGGTGCTACCCCGGCTGGGAGAAGTCCCACACCGAGCTCCTCTGAGCCTTGGAGCCCATCCCTGTTCTCCCTCTCTGGGATGGGTCTCAGGCAGGTGACACTCGCAGGAATTGCGCTTTTTCCGTGATGAAATGGAATTCATTTCGCAATTCCCACCTGGGCAAGGCCCAGAACGTGACTTTGGAGAACCATTTTGGTTGGGAAAGACCTTCCAGCTCCTCAAATCCAAGCCTAAAGGGAGGGCACAGCCTGCGGGAGTGACCAGGAGGGAAACCACTCCAAGTGCAGTGGGAAAACCAGGGCCCAGGCGGGCTGGGAATCCCACCAGGCACTCATTGATCTCTCCTAAAGCCCAGTAAAGCCTTTAATTGCCCAATAAATGCGCTGCTGTAACCATTTGAAGCCCAGCACCAGCAATTAGCACTTATTTATTTGCGTTCTGCCCCCTCCATCTCCCCAGATCTGTTTGTTGGGAACCGGGGAGACTCCTTGGGGTCACCAGAGTGAGGATGAGGAGCCCTGGAGCGCTGGGAGAGGAGAAGTGATGCTGTTCCATGGAGCAGGAGGGATGTGGAGCTTTCCTGGTGCTCAGGGATTGACCTTGGGTTTCCAGGGAATGCATAAAAACCCCTGGAGTTTGCTCCAGCCTTTCAGGAATTGCTGCTGATGCCACCGAGGGCTGCTCATAGCTCAGCTGAAGAGAATCTCCTGATCACTTTTTGCAGTAAAAAATGAACATTTCTTGCTGTTTTGGTGCAGGAGCAAAGGATTCACATCGTTTGGGAGGATTAGTGGGAATGGAAGGCCGGGAATGTCGATCCAACGAAGCAAAGGCTGGGATCTGAAGCAGCCTCAAGCTGCCAGGGACAGGGAGAGGACGAGAAGGAGAGAAGAGCTCCCTGCCTGGTGCCCACCGGCAGCAGGAGGGAGAAAAGGGGTCCCCAAATGCCAAAACAGCTCCTCCTGCCACCCTGCCAGCACTGGATGGACACCGGCTCGGGAATCCCACCTGGAGCTCCCTGGGAGGCCAAAGGAGCCCCCCCAGAGGCCGTGGCTGCTGTGCTGGGATGAAGAAGCCCCTCAGCATCCTCGTGTGGGTCCCCAGGTGCTGCCGGAGGGAGGGGACAGAGCTGCAAATGCCGTGGGACACAGCGGGGTCCCAGCCAAAAACCAACTCCAGCCTCCCAGCCCTGTTTTTACCTTTTTCTCTGGGGGCAGCAGCAGTTCTGGGGAGCTGCTGGGGATCCCCACGGCTG